CATCTAGAAGCTTCCAGACGCATCAAAAAGAAGCATCTAGAATCTTCCAGAACAGGTTCACACAGGTTCATTTTACTATATAAGAGACATGTAAACAGAGATGTAATTCATTCAGTTTGTGGAAGTCAATCAGTCAGTATTATCAAGACAGTTTATCAAAGTGAGTTTTATCAAAGTGTTTTATCGAAGAACATCAATACAAGAAGTGAAATACAACAAGTGCTTCATTACATCAATACAGTCCACATCCAACCAAGACGTTGTGTTCCACAGAGCATTATTGTATCATCACAAGGTAAATATAACACGGTAAGGCTTGAGAAGCGTGATTATTTTCATTATTTTTATGACTTCAAGTGCAAAAATGGTTCCCAACAATCTTGGATTGGAACTAAGAAAGAAAATTATTGACGATTACGTAAGTGAAATGTCACAAAAAAGTATTTGTGATAAATATCATGTGAAAAAATGTACCGTATCAAGACTATGTTCCAAATATTGTTCTACGGGGAAGTTGGCAGCAGATAACAAAGGTGGAAGACCCTGTTCCACCAATTCTAGAGAAGATTCTATGAACTTCAGATCTGTCAAGAAGGATCCCTGGATATTATCAGTCGATATACAAAAGCAATTAGAGCTGCCTGTATCAGACGGAACAATCAAACCACGTGCTGTTGAAGCCAGATTGCTTTCTCGACGCCCTGCAATCAAACCGCTGATTTCACTAAAGAACCAGAAAAAAAGACTCCTGTTTGCTACATCTCATATTGACTGGAATGTACAGAAATGGCAAACTGTCCTGTTCAGTGATGAATTGAAGTTCAACATCATTGGGAGCGATAGCATTTGCTGTGTAATCTCCGGATCTCAACCCTATCGAGAACCTGTGGGAGATTGTCAACCGCAGAATTAATCATGAAGGTGTTCGTAATAAGGATCAACTGTTTGAACATATTTAAAAGGCATGGGTAGTGATTCCACAAAGTTTCATTGATCACCTTATTGAATATATACCTCAAAGATGCAAGGCTGTGATCGACAACAAAGGATTCGCCACAAAATATTGATAGCAAAATACTGCTTGGTCAACATTATGTGGAGTTGCACTTGTTTTGTCCAAAAGGAAATCAATTTTTTTAATACTTTTGATTAATTTATTAATTTTCGTGCACAAATAAGAAACTTTGTGATGAATAAAACTTGAAGAACGTTGTCTCTAAACCTTTACATAGTTTTTTCTCTAAATTGAAAAAATGCAGCACTTTTATATAAAGAAACTAAGTTAGCATTAATTGGTTGCACTTGTTTTGTCCGATACTGTATATTATATATATATATATATATATATATATATATATATATATATATATATATATATATATATATATATATATATATATATATATATATATATATATATATATATATATATATATATATATATATATATAAGATATATATAAGATATATATATATATATATATATATATATATATATATATATATATGATATATATAAGATATATATATATATATATATATATATATATATATATATAGATATATATATATATATATATATATATACATATATATATAATGTTATATATATATATATATATATATATATATATATATATATATATATATATATATATATGTATATATTATGTTATATATATATATATATATATATATATATATATACATATATATATATATATATATATATATATATATATATATAATGTTATATATATACATATACATATATATATATATATATATATATATATATATATATATATATATATATATATATATATATATATATATATTATATATATATATATATATATATATATATATATATATCTAAACCACTCTGATATATTTTGGGATGATACAGGTGGTATGCGTCGTGGTAAAGGGCGAGTTTCAAACCGAGAATTTTTAGAAACTATAAACGACTGTTTTTAGATATATATATATATATATTTCTACTTGGATAGTGAGCAAATTTGGTGCAAGGTTAGCATTGGTTCAAATACTATTTTAGTTGGTTGTTTATACAGACACCCTCACACTTCATCTGACCTAAACAAAATATTTAATGACTCAATTAGAGAAGCACATAGATTAGTTGATGGATAAAATTTAACTAACTTATTAATAATAGGTGATCTAAACCACTCTGATATATTTTGGGATGATACAGGTGGTATGTGTTGTGGTAAAGGGCAACTTTTAAGCCAAGAATATTTAGAAACTATAAACGACTGTTTTTAGTACAAGCAGTTTATAAACCTACTTTCAAGCATAACTTTCTTGATATAATTTTAGTTGATGATCCTGATCATATATATGCAGTAGAAATAGGCTCCCATATTGGATCCATAGAGCAAAATCAGTTCCACAAGACATTGTTGTGGGAATATCGAGTTAAAGATCCTTTCTGTACGCAAAACTATCAAAGAAATGTACGAGATTAGAAATGTGGTAATTATGAAGCTATAAGTGAAGCACTTAATGATATTAATTGGCAAACGAACTTCTATGAAAAAGGCGCTAACCAATGTTATATTTTCATTGACTATTATAAAAACTAGTTAAGAAGTTTGTTCCCATGAGATCTCTCTCCACCCTCGACTTATCCAAATCAGTACCCAGATGGATGAATAAAAATATCAAAAAAGCTTCAAGATATAAACTATGTATTTTCGAAAAGATGATTGCTGCATCTAAATTAAATAAAGGAAAGCTTAAAATTGAATTCAACAAATAATGTAAATTAGTTAAAAAATTAGTAAATAAAGCAGTTTTACAATATGAAGAAAGTATTTCAATGCATGCAAAACAAAATCCTAAAATTTTATACTCTTACACCAACAAACAAAAAAAGATAAAAACTGATATCAAGGCAGTATTTGATGCTGACAGGAAACAAATTACAGAGAAGATATCACTCATTGTTTAAACACTTCCACAAAGCTTTTACTCAGATGCACAACAGAACATTAATGCCAGATTTCAAACCAAAAACACAAACTTTATCCTATGTTGACAGTAAAATTCTATTTAGTAATACTGGAGTAGCCACTCTGTTGTGCAGCTTAGACAAATCAAAACCACCTGGAGTAGACCAGTTACATCCATTTGTTCTTTCAAAATGTTATAAGAGCCTGAGTTTTCCATTATCTTATATATTTATAAAATCCTTTGAAACAAAAAGAAAGGACGTAAAATTGAACCAATAAACTACAGTCCAATCTAATTGACATCAATTGCAAGTAAGATCATGGAGAGATTAGTTAGAGAATACATGACGAAGCACCTTACTAAACTTAAACTACTATCTATTCACCAACATGGATTTGTTAGTGGTAAATCTTGCGCCACAAACCTCTTAGAGGTGTTAGATATAATTACAGAAGCACTAAACCATAATTTTATGGCTGTCCTTATCTTACTAGACTTTTCCAAAGCTTTTGACAGAGTGAGCCACGAACTACTTAACATTAAACTTAATGGCTATGGGTTTGACGTAAAATTAATTGCTTGGATTTCTGATTTTTTTAAAAGGTAGACAACAGCGAGTAGTCTTGAGTGGTGTGTATTCTGACTGGGCAAAGGTAATGAGTGGGGTACTACAAGGATCGGTTATTGGTCCACTACTGTTTTTGATATATATAAATGACATGCCAGAAATAGTCAAGAACTTTTGTAAGCTTTTTGCAGATTATAGCCAGCTCGTCGCTACGATCAAAAACAATATGGATATCACATCAGTTCAAAATGACCTTGACGCCCTTATAGACTGGTCGAAGCTATGGGAGATGTCCTTCAATATTGATAAATGTAAAATTATGAAATTCAGTGAAAAACCAAGCAAAAATCTAGATAACTGTTACTTCACTATGAAAGACAATATGGGAGCTGTTTTAAACCTTGAAACAAAAACAATATAGCGAAATCTTGGTGTAATTTTTAACAATAAATTAAAATGGAATTACCACATCAAACATGCAATAAATAAAACATAATTCTAGGCATGCTTAAACAAACATTCAAATCTTGGGCGGGGCCTATTTTTGTTAGATTGTTTACAAACTTTGTTCGACCTCATTTGGAATATTGTGCACATGTTTGGAATCCTTAAAAAAAAAAAGACATAAGGGCTCTAGAAGCCATCCAGAAAAGAGCAACTAAACTTGTTCCAGCAATAGGAAATTTGAATTACGAAGCCCGTCTAACTTATTTCTATAATCTCTAGAACAAAGAAGACAATGAGAGGATATGATACAATATTTTAAAGCATTCAAGGGGTTTAATGAAACAAATTGGTTTCATAACAATGCCATACCACATTCCCTTTTAGCACAAGGACCTGCAAGTAATGTTAGAGGCTCTAAATTAAGAATTTCAAGATAATTTACAAGAACCCAAGCTAGATATTCCTTTTTTTACAAACAGGATTGTATTCTTATGGAATAAGTTGCCAAATCAAGTTATTGATTCAAGAAGCATCAATGAGTTCAAGAATCGATATGACAAGTACATTGTTGCCAAACAGGCATCTGCTAAAGTCTGCTAAACAGACTTCATGAGAAATTATTTTTTTATTTTTTCTCATTGCAGATTATTGTATATATATATATATATATATATATATATATATATATATATATATATATATATATATATATATATATATATATATATATATATATATATATATATATATATATATATATATATATATATATATATATATAGATAGATAGATAGATAGATAGATGTTATTTTATTAAATAATAGAACACATTAAGGGGGTAGCTGCAATTATTTTTCAAAAATGTGGCTTTAAGAGCCACCTTTAATCACATAAGTAACTATGTGATTAAACATTAACTTTAATCACATAGTTACTTACTCAAAAGAATTATAAATCTAAAATTATATATATAGTAAAGAGTTGAACAACAATAATAATTACTCACACTGCCTAGTCAGTAAAAGGACACAAGGAAACTCACTGACTTGGAAATACGGCACTATTTCTCTGAAAAAGTGTGGCTTTAAGAGCCACCTTTAATCACATAAGTAACTATGAGATTAAACATTAACTTTAATCACATAGTTACTTACTCAAAAGAATTATAAATCTGAAATTATATATATAGTAAAGAGTTGAACAACAATAATAATTACTCACACTGCCTAGTCAGTATAAGGACACAAGGAAACTCACTGACTTGGAAATATGGCACTGTTTCTCTGAAAAAAGGATTTAAGCAATGAAAGCAAAAATACAAACTGTTATAAATATTAAATTCAAAAATTTATAAAAAGATTTAAAAGAATTTTTAACTGTTAAATTTACTATTATTAAGTGGATTCTAAATTTATATTTGTAGCATTTAAAAAATAACTCAAAAAAAACCTCTCTACGTTTGTGTTGGGAGGAACAAATACCAACTGCAGATTAGGCTGTTCAAACTCCAGTATCTTAAAAAATAAATGTTTATTATACTATACTACAAATAAACAAAAAAATATATATCATTGATCAAAATAGGTGCTGAAGATTGCAATGCCATGGACCATTCCAATGTATGGTACCTTTTTCAATCCTTATAAACTATTTGTATATATTCATAAATATACTTTAATCAGGGTTGGCATTATAAAACCTGCCCAAAAAAATCCGCCCAAAAAAACCCATTAAAGCTCATCTAAAAAAATCCAATAAAACCCAAACAATCTGGGTTTATTGGGTTTTTTTAAAGATATTTTATAACTTTATTGACTATTATAAACAACATTACTGAAAACAAAAACATATTATAGTAGCTAGCTATAAAAGAAAAAGTTTTTATTCAAACACATTTTTAATAAAAAAAATTTTTTAAATAATATTTTCTGAAACAAAATAAATTAAAGGATTCATTCAATAAGATTTTTTAGGATAAGCACACTTAGATAAAAATTATTATATTTATTACTTTTTAAAAAACCAACTATATATTTTTGATACTGTCTATATATTTGTGCAAGCTTTTTTATCTTTTCACTTCTCACATATTTATTTCTAACTTTGGACCAGATAAAACTAAACTAGGAAAATATTCTTTTAATTGATCTGGAAATAAATTTGCAAAATTCTGCAGTCAATTTTTTTTGAACTGATTTCTTGTTTCTTAGGTTAATGGTACACCACCAATCAATGCACAATATTGTGGATATAATATCGCTTAACATCCTAGTATGAAAACCATCACAGTCCCTTAATTTAAGCAAAATCAACCAAAGTAAAAAATCAGGACTGTAATGACTGTAAAGTCAATTTCTGCTTCGTCTTTATTTTTAATCATTAGGTTTTTACCTATGAAAAAAAAATTATTTTTATTATTATCTAATTAATTAATTATTTTATTATTATTTAATAAAAAAAATTATTTTTATTATTATTTAATATTTCTATTTATAATTTTTTCTTTAGGTCTGTAAAGACGTATTTTGTAATGAAAATTTTAATTTAAAAAAAGATAAATACTTAATCTAAAACAACACCAATTTTTTTGAGTTGGATTTGCAAGATTTTCAATGATATTGAATTGATACTGTATATGATGTGTATACATCAGCTGTTGCTTCTTACAAGATTTTGGAAAATTTATAAAACTCACAGATGCCAAAGAACTTGTTCCAACTTGAGACAATGGTTCAGCTAATAGAGAAGATTTACTAATATTTGAATCATTATTTGGAAATACATTATCACATTTTTTTTTAAACTTTTTTACAGATTGAGACTGTCACTTTTTTGTCATTTATGTTATTCATCCCAAGACTGAGAAAGCCACTACAGCCAAGGATGCTATCTTATTGTGGTTACAACCCTCTTTTAACTCTCAACTCTGAAACCTGAACCTTGATGTACTTTATGAGAAAAATGTTTGTTCATTTGAATTTCAAGCTCAATTAAAACTTCCGTTACTTCCTCCCATTCTCTAGCTTTTTTTTTTAGCCTTCTATTCTCCAGCCATCTTTTTTAGCCTCCTCTTCTCCAGCCTTCTTTTCTCATTTAAATTAAAATAAATCAAAATACAGATAGGCTTAGAGTTAAATTTTTTTTCCTATAACAGTTTTAAATTAAGTTTAAAAATCATTTTCAAAATAATTTGGAAAATTCTTGTTATAAATTATTAAATAACACTATATAAAATATATTTTAAATAAAGTTAAAATGTGGAAATAAAGTTTAAAGTGGAAAATTATACTAATTTTTGATATCATTAAACAAAAAAAAATTTAATAGATACAAAATAAAAATAAAACCAAAAAAACCCAAATTTACCCAATAAAACCCAAAATTACCAAAAAAAGCTACTGGACCAGATTTTTTTTTTTAATTAAACAGGTTTTTGCCAACCCTGATTTTAATGTTTACAACTTTTCAGGAAAAAAATTGCTACCGGCTGATGAGGAAATCAGAGAATATATGTTTAACAATCAGCCATAAAATTTCAAATAACTCTCATGGAGATTTGCAGCAAATTTTGCAAATTTTGATTTACATGTTTGATTTTGCACATCAAACATTTAAATGACATAACTTTCAATAAGCTTTTGAATAAGTAAAACCATCAACTCAGATAATAAAGTAAACAATGTTTTTAAATTAATCTCACGATAATTGAAAAATTCATTTTTATGACCTATCATTATACTCCTTTGTTTACTGTGTTTACATACAGTGTATTTATGTAACATAAACACAGAGTGTAAAAAAGTACAAATTTTATTTTTTTTTTATTTTCCACTGTCAAGTTTCACCTTATTTTAATTTTTCAAATAATTATTACAAATACACTTATGAAAATTAAAAAACAAAATCAAAAAATTTAATAGGCATTATATTAAACTATGTCCATAATAGGAGTTTAAATAAAATTTCAATTAAAAACTATCAATTCATTACCCCTGAATACAAAAAAATAGTTTTTGTGAATAAACTTTCTGGTAAAAAAAATTTAAAAGTAAAGGAACATTTACAAATAAAGAATTTTAAAATAAAAAGTAAAAAAAACAAAACAAATTGCAAGTTTCTATAAATTAGAAATACAGGTATGATATAAAAGTGACACAAACAAAATATGGTACAACAAAAACACAAAATAAAATATACAACACAGTACAAAAAAAAAAAATCAGTCCAAGGCCTTTTTCACCTAATTCTATCAACCTGCTACTATAAAAATTTATTCAATTAAAAGATTTTCAATTTTAAAATTCAATAAACTTCATGAGCAAATATTGTTCTATATTTATAGAACAATATTCGCTTTTGGAAGTTAAGTTAATATATTTTTTCAATATGTCATATCTTGTCTCATATTAATGTCATATCTATGTATTAATTAAAATCTAATTTAAAACAAACTATATTAAAAGTTAATAATAAATAATATATAAGTTTATTAAATTCTGTATTTTTACATTGATTTTTTGCATATTTTCTATTCTTGGAACTGATCAAGAATGGTATTTGTTGTAACTACAAAATAATTTCTTTTTTTTAAATTAAAGGAGTGAAAGCAGAAGCTAAAAACAAAAAACAAAAAACAAAAAAAACTTTTAAAGAAACAACAACCAGTTCAAGTAGATTGCATTCACTTTGGAACCATTTGTTTCCAGGTAAAAACACCATTATTGTTTTTGATTCTCTTCGCACAATATTCTCAAAATGGATATCTTTTGCAACCGCCATTTGCAGTAGATCAATATTCTAGTATTAAAATAACATGCCAAAAAGTTTAAAAGCAAAAAATAAAGATAAAAAAGTAAAAATCTCACATTTTATTACAACTTATTGTTTGAACATTTAGGTATTTCCTTTAAAATTATTTAAATAAAAGTAGCATTTTAACATTTTATTCAAATTCTATTTTAGTCTGTTTTTATAGTTGTTTCATTAAAACAAATAATACTGCAACAATTTTTATTCCTACTTCTTTATTAATTGCAAAGTGCATTTTTTTCTCTTGTTCATTGTAAACTAAATGTTTATCAAATTTTATAAAAAAATGTGAAAAATTTCACAGAAATATATAATTATAAATATTCAAAATAATTTTTTCAAACAATTTAAAACAACTTTTTAAATTATAAACCTTGAATGTTTAACAATTTAAACAATTTTAAAAGTTGGAAACTTCTAAAATTGTTTTTATTACATGGGTAATTCCATGTCAAATCAGCAGGCTCATGTCACCCCATGTTTTAGATTTTGCTAATTTTCTCATATGTTATAGGATTTATAAAAATCAAGAAAATCTGAAATTTGGAACCTCCAACCCCTTACGGTTCTTGAGATATTCAGGATTCAAATTTCTTAATTATGCTGACTCAGCATTTTTTACAAAATACTTTTTTGTTATAAAATAGCAATATTTTATGAACCAAATGAGGTATCATCCTGAAATTTTGTACATAGATAATCTTCCACATGGCGGATACAAATTTCATTTTGAATACTTGTTTGACCACCATAATTACATGTAAATTAGATAAAGGCATATATTTTGGGGTACTTCCAACTTCAAAATGGTGGTGTCCCATTAATCATTTTTTTGGAGGCATTGATATAACTTACAATATAGGCATCAAACGTCACTATTAATAAAAAAAAATTACTGTATTTTTCAACGTTTCTATATGCAGCCTTTGAAAAATAAAATTTATTGCTATCTTATTTATGACAAAGTTAGCTATATCATAATTTTATGTTTTAAAAAGGTATTGTTAAAGTCTTTGTAAGGGCAATAATAAATTTATATTTTTTTGTGCCTAGGGTAGGCTCAAATTATAAAGAGAGGGAGGAGGGGGGGGGAGGGAATCAGGCTTTTCCTGCCCCCATCCCCTCTTTCCTCAAAAAAAAAAGAATTAATTCTTTTTTCTAAATTAAATATTTTTCCTTCACTCAAAATTTTGTTTTGTTAAAAATTTTTCTTTTAACCTTTTTGGAGGCCTGATGGAGCAATAACTAGAATATATCTTTATTTATTGGAGCTAATTTTTTTGTAAAAGACCTACATTTTTTTAAGTATAGAAACTTCGCTAGGCTGTAATCCAAATGCATTTATAAAAGACAAATTTTTTTAAAAAGGCTCTATTTATAAATTTATACTTTTTTTTTTTTATTTATAAATAAAACCTTTTATTTCTTCATTACTATATTGTTGCTTCTGATTTCATGTTGTAAATATTTGTTTCCTGTTACTTTGCGGAATTTTAATATTTACTTAACTAATTATTAATTGTTAAATGATTACATATAAATGTTATATGATCTGTAAATAAAATAAAAATTAATTAGCCTTTAATCATGTATAAGAGGAAATCATATAATATGCCACATCCAATTACATGTATACTAAAATAAAATGTATAAATAATTTACCATAAACTAAATAATGTTAATGATATTTCTAAAAAATATTTATTTTGTAAAATATTTAAAAACAAGACTTTTTAAATAAAACTTAAAGTTGGAAAATATGGAAAATTGTTCTATATTTATTAGATAGTAATGTTGACTGTCACAAACAAGGTTTAACAAGAAGACAAGGTCTTTTAGACCATCCAAAATATTCAAGTTGATGAAAAACACAAGTTTTTATGGAGAGCTGGTTTGCTTGATTGTGGAAAATTGTTTATAACAGTTCGTATTATCATAGAGAACACTTTGGAGTTGCATTTGAAAGAAATTTTCAGAAATGCTGTAATCTATTTAAAAAACATGGAAATCAAAAGAAAAATATAAAAGGTAATTTTAATATTGTTTTGATGATTATAATGGTTTAAATAGTAATTAAATAAACTAAAGAAATAATAAGACAACTAAATGCTTTTCTAAGAAAAAAATTCAAATATTTTTATAAATTTAAAATTTAATTGTTTTATAAACTAACAAATATACTAATATGTTCTTTACAATGATGCTTAGATGATATTTTGATTTTAGAAATGATTGTTTGTTTTTATATAGGAAATGTGAAGATATCGCTATCAATAGCAATAACTCTTAAAACACAAGATATTTCTGTTTTGGCTGAGTGGAAATTAGGCAACAGTTGTTACAAAAGGGTACAGAGTATAAATCAAAAATTAGAATCAAATGATCAATGCTATAGCAGTGTTGAGTCTGAACATGAACAACAATCAGCTCTCAATAAAAGTCTTAAATCTATAGGTGTGTCACCAATTAAGCTTAAATCAGTGCCAAAACACCAACGGTTACCAGCTGCCGAAAGAAAACTTGATTAAACAACTGAAGCAACAACAAACAAAATAAATGAAGTTTATAATATTGATCCTATGATTAGATTGACACCATCTTGTACATCACTATCTTCTTCAGTTGATAACCATAAAATTGACAATCAGAGCAGGTTTACTATTATTTGAATCATTATTTGGAATCATTTTTATTCAAATATTTTTATTGATTGAGATTTTTATTACTTTATGTTATTCACCTTCCAAGTTCCACTCGTCACTTTGATAAAAGCTATGAACTAGATCAATGGTTTCATGGGAAAGTGACTTTCCTTATTTTGATGATGGTTTATACAAATTTTGTATAAACCATCATCAAAATAAGGAAAGTCACTTTCCCATGAAACCATTGATCTAGTTCATAGCTTTTATCAAAGTGACGAGTGGAACTTGGAAGGTGAATAACATAAAGTAATAAAAATCTCAATCAATAAAAATATTTGAATAAAAATGATTCCAAATAATGATTCAAATAATAGTAAACCTGCTCTGATAGCTGTTATTGTTGGTTATAATAGTTAATAATAATAGTTAATAATAATTTAGTTAATAATAATAGTTAGTAATTATTTTAGTTAATAATATTATAGTTATAATGTTAAAGTTGGTTATAATAGTTCATAAACTTATTAAATATCTTTAAAAAAACCCAATAAAACCCAGATTTTCCAGGGTTTTATTGGTTTTTTTTAGGGGGTTTTTTTTGGGTTTTATTGGGCGGGTTTTTTAATGCCAACCCTGATGGCAAGGTACTAATAGAACTACACTGATCAATCAAAAAATCAATATTGAAGATGTTATTGATCTTATATGCAATAAAAAAGATAAACATACATTTCATTCATTTATAGCTAAAAGTCAGGCCAAGTACTTTAAAGACTGTAAAGAGTTTTTAAATCACAATGAGTGTATAATATTGGATGACTTTGAAGAGAACTTTCAATTTATTGTTCAGGATGAGGTGCAAAGTTACCACTGGAATAAACTAAAAGGTACACTTCATCCTATTATTATATACTACAAATCAAATGGTAAACTGATATCTAAGTCATTTTGCTTTCTTTCGACGTGACGTTGAGCATGATGTATACTTTGTATATAAAATTCAACTGCTCATTATCAATTACATTAAAGCAAACATTCTACAAATTAGTAATATTAAATACTTTATTGATGGATGTGCAGCACAATATAAAAACTTTGAGAACTTTATTAATCTTTATGAGTATCAAGACTTTGATACTGATGCTGAATGTTTTTTTTTTGCCACAAGCCATGATAAATCTGCTTGTGATGGTATTAGGGGCACAGTAAAAAGACTAACTGCACAAGCCAGTTTAAAAAAGACAATTACTGGACAGATGTTTGAATTTTGTGTAACCAAATTCAAAAAACATTCAATTCATTTTGGTTTATAAAACAGAAAAAAATGAAGTTTGATCATCATTACAACCAAGGTTTATTATGGGAAGAACCTTGCAAGGAACAAGATGCTTCCACCATTTTATACCAATTAATAAATGTACAATTTCTTTTAAAAGGATGAGTCAACAAACTGATTTTCAGACATTTAACCTTGTGCAGATACTATATGAGCTAATTGTGCAGCAGGTTATTTATATTCATATGGATTTTGTAGCTTGCAATTATGACAATTTTTGGTGGATTGGAATTATAACCAAAAAAGATGAATGAGAAGGAGATTATAATATTCAATTTATGTCTCAGTTCAAGTTTTTTTTGGCCCACACAGGAAGATATGTGTTGGGTCCCATCAAATCATGTTTTATGCACCATTGAATCCTGAATATCTCAAGAACCGTAAGGGGTTGGAGGTTCCAAATTTCTTGATTTTTATATACCCTATAATATAAAAAAATTAGCAGAATCCAACACATAGGGTGACATTATTTGTTTTTTTCTGCTGATTTGACATGGAATTCCCCACATGTAACTTAAGTTTAACTAACTTATAAATTAAAAGTAAATTAAATTTAAAGTAACTAATAAATGATTACAATATTAACAGATAAACAGATTTTGTTAAAATTAATTAAATAACAATATATATATTTTTTTTCTTTTCGTATTTATGAGTAATAAGAAAGACTATTATAATTTGTTTCTATATGAGCCTGCTAAAAGTTTTATAAATATTTTTAATATTAGTTTTTTGCATTCACAGTTTTATGATAATACTAATAAACGAGTAAAATATTTTGTTTTATAACAGATTTAATGTTTATAATTATATTCAAAATGCATTCAAATGTATTAAAATAAAAAACTATTTAAAAGAAAATAATTCAAATTTAAAAACAAAAATTAAATGCGAAAAAAAATGCATAATTTTTTCATATTTTTTCAACTTTTTAACATGGTAATTATTTTCATGTCTAAGTTACTTATGAACACTATAAAGTTAGTAAACGTAACAATAATCTGGAATGATTTACACTGTTTGATAAACTGTTTAATTCATTCTATTTTCTATTATTTACATTATATGTAGGGATGTACCGGAATTCCATTCCGGCTGGAATTCCAGCAGGAATTTGTGGCTTCAGTTATTCCAGTTTCTGCCTGAATTATAATATATCAGGCCGGAATGCCGGAATATATTTTGACACAGACATGTGACAGATTGTTTAAACTAAATCAAAAAATCATTTTCCTACAGGATAATGAAGAACTATGGAACTTAACAAATACAATGTAAATTTAGGTAAAGCTACAGTTTAGTGCTCTAAAATAATTTTATTTTTTCACTTGTTGCGCTCTTGATAGTGGAGAGTTTTTAAACATTAGAATATTTAATTGAAATAATAAAAAAAGATTACTGCCTTATGCCAAACCTTTAGTCAAGGTAGCAGCACTTCTTTCTAGAAGCAGGCTATAAGATAGTATTTGTAGCAACACTACTTTGTAGCAGCAGGCTATAAGATAATGGATGTAGCAGCACTTCTTTGTAGCAGCAGGCTATAAGATAGTCGATGTATGTACTAATGCCAATAAATATTCTTTTTATTTATACTAAAAAGTCACCACTTTTAGTCTTGACACGAAAGCGCATCAAGCAATAAATTAAAATTATTTTAGACTGCATATCAGTAGCTTTATCTAACTTTATTTGCAGTAATCATTTATGTAAAGATTTTGAAAAGTTTAGAAATATTTTGGTGCAAAAAGAGTTGCTATGCAGTTTTAGGCAACAAACAAGCTCTTTTTTCATCAAAAATGTTGCCTGCCTCTGACAATAGTCTCATTTTAATGTTTCTTAACTTTTAAATAGTTAAAAAGTATAGGATACCTAATTTGGTAAATACTTCATATATATGTATATATATATATATATATATATATATATATATATATATATATATATATATATATATATATATATATATATATATATATATATATATATACACACACATTATAAGTAATAAATATATATTATGTAGGCATAGTGTTGAGGTTTACTATGCCTACATAATATATATTTATTACTTATAATAAATATATATTATGTAGGCTTTCACTTTCAATCTTGAAGGCAAAAAACTACATAAATATAAATATAAATTGCGGCAAATAGTTCTGGCTGAAATTCAAAATTTCCTAATCAAATGTTACATTGTTATGATTTAAAGCTTGATTTTACATTTATAGCAGATGTCCAAAAATATAAAAATACTACAATACTATAATCAATTTTTCTTCTTTAATATTTAATACAAATACATAATTTTTAAATTTTCAGAACTATTAAAATTTAAAAGAAATATCTGCAACTCCAAATATTAAAAAAAAAAAAAAACAACCCCTGCATAATAGATGAGCTGAAGCAATTTTTTACAAACAACATTTCTAGCATTAAATGGTTTAGTAGAACAGAACTGAGTTTTTTATCAAGATACTAACACTAGGATGATTACTGTCCAAGGTTTATAAAGTCCTTCTACATTTACCCAGGATTAAATTTAGGGCTTTATTTCAAAGTTTTTCTTCTCCTAGCTAAGCTGTCTATACCATGTTAAAGAATCTTTGCCAATTCCTATATATATAATATATATTTTTGTAAATCTACACAAATTAAAACAAGAATTTCGGTTGCATTCTATAAAAACATCAGTTTTAAATTCTATGTTTGCTGTCCATGTAAAAACTACATAATTTGATGGAAATTTCATTTTCACTTTCATCACATATTTTGATGCTAATTTCAACTGATACTTGTGTTAAAAAAAAAATTTTTAACACAAGTGTCAGTCAATTTTCAAAAAAGTATAAAAAAACTTCAAAAGTCTGGTGGTGGGCACAAACAGAAGCTTGTTAACCCTAGCAAAACCTGTATGTATAGTGAAATTGTTAACTTAATTAAATTAAATAGTAAATATTGTTTATCTAATACTAAAAAAAAAGAAAATACAAACCAGTTTACTGGTAATAAACTTTTCCATTTGCTTCCTTTTAAAAATGTGTTTTCCTTTAAAATAAATAGGAGACTTCTGTTTCACGTAACAAGAAAATTCTAATTTATCAGATGAAACCTAGAAATACAAAACATAATCTTCCATAAAAAATCTATTTTTACTTCTAATTTATTTTATTCTACAATTTTAACAACTGTTTATTCACTTTTAAATAAAATAAACTAAATATTTCATGTAAATATACATTATAGTAAAAAACATAACTTACATAAATAATATTAAAATAAACTCATGATAAACATTATAGATATTTTAAATAAAGTAATATTAATATTAAACAATAAATTAATGTAAAAACTTTTAATAAAAACTTGGGCCTATTTTCATTTATTAAACTTTCATAAAAGAAATTGATGAGTTAGAATAATGCGATATTTAAGGTATTTAAATAAAAAAATAAAACAAATCTAGCTTAGTGAAAATGTCCTATAGAATTTTATAGGAGTTTGGTACAGAAAAAAATATTTGTGCAATTCCTAAATTGACTTTTATAAGTCAATTTAGGAATTTTGTGCATTTGAATCTGAACTAAAAATTAGCAAACTTGAAAAATCTAAATTTTAATTTTGAAAAAATTCAATGGTATATTTGCTTACTTCTAAGAACACAACACAGTGTTATCATATCAGTTTTTCTTGTTGAGTACACCATTTTACCAATAAACAGATACCTGGTAGTAAGAAATTGATTCACAAAATACAAGCACCCTGAATAAATGACCAGTTGCATCATCTTTTTGTAAAAAAGGATTTTATTTTAGTAAACCAGATCCCAAAGTCATACCAGTTCTTGATAAATATAAGCAGTTTTGAGATCAAATAATAATAAATAAAAAAACACTAAAGCAATCCGTCAGAAACTATGAAAATAAAATAGTTAACAATAATTTACAGAAATCGCAATTTAGCCATGTAAAATCAAATTGTAAAACAATTTCTCCAAAAAATTTAGAAACCAGTTTAGTTTCTGAAACTCAGGTTCGTTTAGAAAATGTAATTATGAGTCTTAAGAAATTTGACCAATACAATACAATGCTCCATGTGTAGATGGTGTGCGCCCATGTGTAGACGTTTTTCTATGTGTAGATGGTGTGCACCCATGAGCAGATGTTGCTCTTTGTGTAAATAATATGTACCCATGCGTAGATGTTGTTCTATGTGTAGATGGTGTGCACCCATGTGTAAATGTTGTTCTATGTGTAGATGTTGTGCACCCATGTGTAGATGTTATTCAATGTGTAGATAGTGTGCACCTAAGTGTAGATATTGTTCAATGTGTAGATGGTGTGCACCCATGCGTAGATGTTGTTCTATGTGTAGATGGTGTGCATCCATGTGTAAATGTTGTTTTATGTGTAGATGTTGTGCACCCATGTGTAGGTTTATTCTATGTGTAGATAGTGTGCACCTAAGTGTAGATGTTCTTCTTTGTGTAGATGGTATGCACCCATATGTAGATGTTGTTCTATGTGTAGATAGTGTGCACCCATGGGTTCTTAAAGAATGTGCTAGTACAATTGTAATTATTATTGGCGCTACACTTTCCACCATCCTAAATTTTGTTAAATCTAAAATTTTGGCATCAACATTACATTGAATTATAAATGGAACTCACATGCTTCAAAAATTACATCTAAACCATTTTAAGATTGATCAAAAATTCATTAATTAGAAGAGACAACAAACTATGGAAAAATTATGCAAATAGTAACAGATTATATTTGGAACTTCCTACACCAACCTGTAAAAAATATTCAAAATTGACCATAAAATGTGTTTAACATATCCAGTAACAATCTACAAAAATACCGAAATATCTAAAACAATTCTGCTATGAAAACATATACAGCTTTTTAACTACAATATACGAAATGCAAATCATATTTAAAAAATCAAAAACAAAATTGCCATAAAAATGTTCTAAACTCATTCCAAAAAAAAAAAAAGACTAAAGAGTTTTTGTTGTTTTAACAATAATTAACTCCTCTAAAGTAAATACGGAAAATATTTTTTAATTGTTTTAACTACTTAAAAAATTTTTCTTAAATATTTGGATTTATATATACAAGAAATATTTAATATCTTTATCTGGAAAACTCTCTTTGGTATTTGGAAATTCTTTAAATTTAATTCAAAAGCTTTATAAAATCTTAATTTTATATTATTTTATTTAAGATATTTCTATTTTATTTGAAATTTTATCAAGTTTTTATAAAAATCACATTTTTAGAATTAGCGGTTGTTAATATGTAAAACACATTGTTAAACTTGCTATCATTTTTTTTTTTCTAAATAAAAAAAAAGTTGTAGCAAAGTTTTAGCAGCGAAACAAGACTATTAAAATTAATACTGTCAAAAATTAAGTTGTCGGACTCAATACTATTTGTTATTTTTTTATTTAACTTCTTTCTATTTTTTCTGGAAGAGCCAAAAACTATGCTAAAAATAGTAAAAAAAAAATTTAATTATGAGAGGTCAAAAAAATCTTCAAATTTTTAATAAAATGTAAAAGCCACAAGTGCCATTTTCCAGCAGGTAGGAAAACAATATTCAGTTAAACACTTGTTAAATGATTTAGATAGCATTGAGGAATATTTAGGAGAATGAATTTTTTTGGAGAGCTATACTATTACTATAGTAAGATTATAACAGCTGTGTGGACAACAAGATATAGAAGAGTTAAAGTGAAAAATAACTTTTACTAACAGAAGCCAGAGTAACTTCTATGTCAAATAATAAATTACCTCTTTCTCTGGGATATCAGAAAAAGTGCTATTATTAGATTCAAGAGATAAGTTAGAGGAAACATTCTTTGCAAATAGTTTTGCCTTATTAATTAAAAGGTAATAAGATCACACTCGTTTATAAAAGATAGGATGTTAGATTTGCATTTGTTAATAAAAATATAAAAAAACTTTCAAAAGACTCTAAAATAGAGGCCTCACTTGAAATTGACGAGAAGGAATAAAAGGTTTCATGACTACCTGAATCCAATTGATTATAATTGAGACAATTTTTAGCAGAGAAACAAGATATTTACCCAAAAACCACTAAATACTGAGATCTGTAAATGAAATAGTGAAATTTAAAGTCTTTTGCAAACCGATATCTTTTATGGATAAAAAGTTACTCCAAAAGATCATAAATATTGTTAAAAATATATTGATAGATTTAGATGGTAATTTTAATAGTTTTTTTTTTTAACTGGATCCTGACCTGATTTAAAACAGGAAGCATACAAAATACCATGAACTATATGAAATATCAGGAACATGAGATCATAAGAACTATATAAAATATCAGGAACATGAGATACCAAAAATACTTTGCAAAGCAAAAACTATATGATTTATCAGGAACTTTTTTATTTATATTATCCACCTCCCTAAAGTCAAAAAGTCCACTACAGTTGAGGAGGCTTTTTTGTTATGGTTACAACTCTCTCTCGACTCTTTGAAACACAAACCTTGACAAACAAGGCCACAGAAAAACAAGCTGAGCATTGTATTACCAGTAACGTGGTGGGGATCAAACTTGGAACTTCTCATTTATGAAGCGAGCGTTTTACACTTACACCACTACTGCATAACTACATAAAGTCAGGAACCATACAAAATATCAGAAACTACATAAAACATCAGGAACCACAAGAAATATTAAGAAACACATAAAATATTAGAATTAAGCATTAAATATCAAGAAGTATGTTTAAAAAACAGTAACTACACATTTTATACAACTACAAGTCATAAAGAGCTATATAAAATACATGTTTACCAACACAATAAACTTAAAAATAAATAACTTTAACAATATTAATAACAAATGGTGGAAAAACTTTTTTTTATTAAAATTTGGCAATTTGTGTATGCTAAAAGAAATATGATTTAAATTTACCATTCTTTACTTTTTTTAATTTATCACTTTTTGTAAAACTGTCAAAATACAATATAAACTTGTAAAAAAAATCAACATATAATATAAACTGGAAACCACTGATAAATATATTATGTCTGAAACTGTTATTGTTAACAATGCTGAAAAGTATTTCAGTAATATCAGTCTCAATATCAATCTTCACTGATGTTGAGACTAAGATTTTTTAGCATTGTTAAATGTATTGTTAAATGAAAAATCTAGTAATATTTAAAATTGAAATATTCAAGCTAAATACTTTAGTTTTTGTATTTTTAATGCAACTGGTCATGTTAAAGCATCCAACGTAAATCCTTTATAATATATAAAGGAGATAATCCTTTATATATTAACATCAATTTCAATCATCCACCAAGCATTATTAAATCGATACCAAAAATGATCTCTAACCGCATCAGTAATATATCTTCAAGCAAAGATGCTTTTAATAGAGCCGCACCATTTTATAATAACGCTCTCAATTCTTGTGGATTCAAAGATAAGATCAATTTCACTCCAAATATCCAAAAATATAATAAAAAATCTCAAAAAAGAAACATCTGGTTTAACCCACCTTATTCACTCAACGTCAGAACAAATGTAGCCAAAACATTTTTGAGTACAATTGATAAATGTTTCCCTAAAAGCCACAAATTTCACAAACTTTTTAATCGAAACAACTTAAAGGTTAGTTATAGCTGCCTTCCAAACATCAAGAGTATTGTTACTTCTCATAATAAAAAGATATTATTTCATTCTCATGAAAATACCAATCAATTATGCAATTGTCGGCAAACCACCTTATGCCCACTCAATGGAAAATGCCTTACAAAAAATCTTATTTATATTTGCAACGCAAAAATTCACCAAGAAGAAGAAGGATATTACTACGTTGGACTTACTGAGAAAACTTTCAAAGACAGGTGGTATAAACATAAAAACTCCTTTGTTTATGAAAGTAAGGCAAACTCCACTGAACTTTCGAAATTTGAGTGGGAATACAAAAATAAAGGTATAGAACCTATATTAAAATGGAATATCCTCGATCAAGCGGAGCCATTCAAACCTGGTGGTAAAATTTGCAATTTATGCTTGACAGAAAAATACCACATTATTAGGTTGCCATTGAATTTGCTTAACAAACGAACCGAGCTTGCGTCAAAATGCCGCCATGAAAAATAAATTTCTAATAAAAAACTTTAATGTCATCAAAGCGGACACTCCACAATATATATATATATATATATATATATATATATATATATATATATATATATATATATATATATATATATATATATATATATATATATATATATATATATATATATATTTAAAACAATACAAAATAAACAAATAAAAACTATAAACAACCATAAAAAAAATACAAAAAACTAAATAATTTTTTTAATATATAATACTAATATAAGTTATATATAATTAGTATAAGTAATATAAGCGAAAAATGTGTAATGAAAAACAAAAACTTTTATAGACAAAAGAAAAAATAAGTAAATCTTGTAAGGCCTAAAAAAAAAAACGAGCGGTTGAAACTCATGACAAACTTATTGTCTAAGACTAAAAAGTCGAAAAAAAAATTTAGAAAAAAGTTTTGCAAAACTAAAATATTTTTTACCATACTAAAAAGTGGAGATTAACTTTTTAATTTAAATTTAATAACACCCTATAAATAAAATTTCGGACAAATTTTAACTGCATTTATTATATAATTTATTTCATGCCTTAAAAACTTTTATACTTATTTGAAAGAGGATTTTATAATCTATTTAGATTTAATTTAATTAAGTTAAAAATATTATTTAAATATTGAAAATAAAGTGGTCAAATTAAAGGACCTCATAAAAATGATGGAAATTTTTTTCCAAAAAAATTGAGAAAAAGGTAAAGTGTTTGTTGCTAAGGAGTTTATGGGATGATGTTTACCCAGATCAACTGCTTACGATAAAATCGTAAAATTAGAGAATGAATCTCTAAAAAGAAAAGTTGGAAGTAGTCGAATTGCTAAGGTAGCTAATAAAGAAAATATTTCAAAGATTGCTGCATTTTTTGAAAATAAGTCAGGGTGCTCCCAAAAGAAAGTAGCTTTTTAACTGTAGTTTAAAAGTTGTTTTTAACTGTAGTCAAACTCGAATTTCCCAAGTATTAAAAACAATGACTAACATTCAAACTTTTAAAAAAACAAATCTTCCAGATCGTAGCCACCAGTAGAAGAAAGCTATGCATCCTAAATGTCGTAAATTGGACGAAAATTATAAAAACTAGGATTTTGTTTTCAATGATGAAAGCTATTTTACTTTAAACGATAGCACATTAGCTGGTAATTATAGGTTTTATGCCGCTGACCCTTCTCAATGTTATGACGAAGTAAGATACTATTTTTGTAAAAAGTATGAGAATAAGTTCTTAGTTTCTTGTTGCATCAGCCCAAAACAATGAGTTTATCTTCTTGCCTGATTTAGCTCAATTACATTACGCAAAGTCGGTCATAGACTTTTCAAAATTGAAAAAAATCAAAGTTGCACCCAAAGACATAAACCCAGCTAACGTTCCAGAGCTGAGAATTTGGAAGAGCTTGAAGCAAGAATTAGATATTGCTATTCATAGATGAATAAAGAAATTTTCCTTACTTAATTAAAACATCTTTCAAAAAAACTTTATAATATTGCTAAATATGGTACTTGAAATAATTATTTTAATTTATTTAAAAACTACATATACTAACATATTAACAGTTGAAATATTAAATAATAAAACTAATTAGTTCTTAAAATATTAATTTTTAAATTTTGTCCAAAATTTTATTTATGAGGTGTTAGTTTTGTAAACTAAATATTGGACAAGTCTGATTTAAAATAATTCTCGTGCAGTCCTGTCAATCTTTAGTTTAATGAACTATTAAATTTAAATTATAAATAAATACTATAAATAACTTACCTGTTTAGGTGCAATAAAAAGAGTCATGTTTTTATCCTCAAGTTTTGCATTAAACATTTCCAGACCATTGGTATAGTTTTGTAGAAAAGTGCCTTATTTAAAAAACAAACACAATTAATTGTTTCAATTATAATGTAATTGCCTAATCAATCAGGATTACTTGACCATTTATTAAACATTTTTTTTTTTTTTTATCTAATTAAAACAGTTTCTTTTCATTATTTATTTAGCTAATGATTGAACTTTAAAGAATGTAAAAATATGAACATTTAACAGCAAAATGTAACTTTTTGTCCCTCTGTTAAATAACTGGTTAAAAAATTTCAAGGCTATTCTATCCTATTTGGTAGCCATGGCTAATGCTTGCAATGGTTTTAAGTTAAAACCATTTCAAACATATTTCAAAGTGCTGCTTTTAATTTGAAACAAATTAAGCTATAATCTAAATTTAAGCGAAATTAATTAAAAACTTTTCATTGACATATTCAATTAATGATTACATTAAATGAAATCCATATGAATAAACAAAAATTTTAAAGTGATTTAAATCAGCCTATTTTTGTTTTTAATTTTAATTTTTGTTTTTGTATTTCTTATTTTTGTTTATTGTGAATTATTTTATATCTAGACTCAAAAAAAAAAAAAATATTTTAAAAATAATTATACTTTATGAGTGAAATAAAAATTGTTTAAATTAATAAGAAAATATTTCAAATAAGTTAAATAATGATTGCATTTTTTTCATTATATAAATATAAAAAAACTTGTTAACTAAATAAATATAAAAAGAAAAAGAAAAAAAAACATAATCTAACCTCCATTAAAAAATATACAAGCAGGATTGTACCATTGCTGTTCATTAATATATTGTTGATATTCCTTAAAACTGAGCTCTTTATATGGAACATAACTTTTCATGTTGAAACCTGAAAAAACATAATTTTGATTAATTTATTTATTCATTAACATTATTATTATGCACTTATATATGTTATCATGTATTTTGTATTTATTCATAAAAATTATTATTATGTACTTATATATGTTATCATGTATTTATTATTATGTACTTATATATGTTATTATGTATTATTATTATGTATATATGTATTATTATGTATTATTATTATGTATATATGTATTATTATTATGTATATATGTATTATTATTATGTATATATATGTTATCATGTATTATTATTATGTACTTATATATGTTATTATGTATTTATACCAATTCTAATTGAAATTTTTTTATTGTTTTTATTGAAGAAAATTTTATTTGATGAAAATTTATAAATTATTTAATACTCGTCAAAAGAACCTGAAATGCCACAGTCATTGTGCAAGTGGTTAAAGAAGTAACTTAAGAATCAAAAAGTCTGTGTTAAGTAACTTAAGAATCAAAAAGTCTCTGTTAAGTCAAGGAATAAGTGTATTATAGGTAAGGAAGACAGCAGTAAAATCTTTTATTACGCACTATTCCATCGTACTCTGTAACAAAAAAATCTGAATGCGCCACAAATTCTTAAAGAACCTTAAAAACTATGCATAACAAAATCTGTAAATAAATTTAACAGTTTCTCTGTCTTGAAAAAAAATTACATAAAAAATATTTTAGCTAATTTTATTTTTGCTTAGTTTCACTGTCTTTTTTATATTTGAAAACAAAAGTTAAATAAGGTAAAAAGTCCATTTTCTCTAAAAAAAAATTAAATAAAAAAATTATTTTGCAACTCACCTTGTGCAGCTGAAATGAACAACAACAAAGACTCAACAATTAAAAACTTCATAATAAACTTCATAATACTTCCATAAATATACATCTTATGTTGGTCTTCAAAATACAAACTGTTTAAAACATTATTTTTTTAGAATTAAAAAAGAAATTCTAAATATTATTATATTGAAATAATCAGATTATATTTAAAGCAACTATTATACTATAAATATTATCAACTATAAAATTATAAATATTAAAAGATTAGTAATTTATGGCAAAAAGTTATTTTGTTTATGCATAAACAACTTTTTTTGAAAATGCATTAAAAAGCATTGCTTTGAGTGTAAGAAATATACAACTGAAAAAATATAAACAACATACAAATCTAACATATAAAAATATCATAGCATACACAACTTTTTATAATAATTCATGTATTTGCCAACACAAACTGTTAGTGAAGGTTTAAAATTATGAAAAATGGCTTAGCCTATTAATTAGACAAGAATTTTTTATAACTTTAGGAAAAAGAATTGAAGAAATAGTAGAAATACTTTAGCAAAAGCCAATTAGAAAAACATAATTTTAATAAAAACAATATTAGGAGAATAAATTAGTAATATATATATATATATATATATATATATATATATATATATATATATATATATATATACATAGTACATAGTAAACTTACTTCATCCCAATGTCTATACTTAAGTCTGTACCTTTTAAATGATAAAGAAACTTCTTTATTAAATTTACCTTCTGTTTCTGTTGCTAATATTTCATATATTTATAAACGTTTATGTACAAATTTTCATCTTTAGATGATTCAATAAAATTATTTGCTTTGATGATTGAAAACTCAAATGCTGGATTAAGGATTGTCAACTTTCAACAATCTGATATAATTTTTTAATAGATAAGCATTATTTTAAAACCTATTTTTTGTAGTCTAAATAAATGACATTGACAGTTTAACAAATTTATAGACATCAATCTATTTGTATAAAACACTTTATTAAGCCTAGAGGGGGAAAACAACAACTTATTTAAACACTGAATAAACTAAAAAATATAGATTTTTACAAACAAATGAAGGAAATCTCTATATCCTTAAACTACTACAAAATAAAGCAATGTCCTCAAATGTTAATTGTTGGCACAGAGTACTGATATGTAAACTAAAAAATGGAATTAATTATCAATTAATTTAATTATTTGTTTAATTTTTTTGTAATACTACTATTAGCAGTATTGGAAAAAAAAGGACATGATCTTTTGACTTTATTAAGTTTTCTTTTTAACTTTTTACTATACAAGGCAATTACTTTAAGGCAAGTAAATTAAAGAATTAAGATGTACTACTATCTTTTAATTCAAAACAAAAATGAATAAATAATAAATTCTAGGGCTTTCAAGATAATAAGAATTAGATAAATAGAAAGTAAAAAAGTAATCAACTTTCAATCAACATAGACTTTCATAAAAAACTTCATTTCCAAGTAACTATCAACAGGTTTTGTTGTTTACTTATTTAAACTGCCGTAACTTGGGATAATAGCACACTTTGATGGGTAATCGCGCACGGTCTTTCGTTTTATTCAAAAAACTTTCGAAAAAACGCAGACCAAACGTTTTTAACAGTTGATACCAGGGCCGTCCCAATCGGGGGTTAAGGGTGTCCCACCCCCCAAAGCTGTCATAAAAGTATTTAATTTGGCACTATTAGCAAGTTTTGAGTTATAGTTGGCAAATTGCAAATATTGAGGACCTTTATTATTTTTTTTTTTTTATGATGTCTCTAATTGGCAAAAAATACATACAACACAAACCGCCCCTCATGGAAAACATCTTCGAGACTTATATACATGACATACTTAACTTAGGGAGTTGATACGCATGTTAAGTATGTCATGTATATAAATTATGTTGATACACTGGTTAAACGAGCTAAATTTACTGAAATTTTTTGAAAACATCAGTGAATATTAAAAGCTATATCAACATTATATCAACAATATATCAACAAATATATATATATATATATATATATATATATATATATATATATATATATATATATATATATATATATATATATATATATATATATATATATATATATATATATATATATATATATAATATATAATAAGTCAATATCAAAAAATAATTGCTAAATTCAAAATATCAGTTTATACTTGTTAACTATTTATTTACGACATTATTTTTAGAGTTAAGGGCAATTTTTTCTTTTTAATTTACTCCTTCTGTGAGCATATTTTAAAGGTATTTACACCTACAATGTGGTATAAAAGTTGTGTTTTAATCTATGTTTACTTGTGCTGGCACTAGGAAAATCAATATTCTCATGGTGATACAAACAAAAATCCAAAATAAAAATACAACTTAAATTCAGAAACAATTTTGCTTTAATTCTTCTAAATTTAAGAAAACAATTTATGTCATGATTTTAACGTCAATTCAGTATTGTGTAAAATAAATGAAAAATTAAACCAGAAAAAAATTTATTTTATTTTAGGGGAGGTGTGAAAAAAAACTGACACCATTTTCAAGCGAAATATTACTGATATCATTCATGGACGGTTTCTTTATAACAACTGTCTGAAAACAAACAAATTCTAAAATGTGTAGAGATGACGATTTTACATAAAGTTGCTTGTATTATATTTAACAAGATCAGAATTCATCAACAGAAAAATTAATATATTTTATAATTGCTAAAACAAAACGTTTTAAGTATTTAAAAGCATTTAGTTACGTTGAATATAAAGCAATCTTCTTTATTGAATGTTTTTTTTTTAGAATAGTTCTAAACTTTTTTCAAAAAGGTTTTCAGTTTTTCTACAATTTTTTCAGAGGTTTTTACATTCAACAGCAAAGTTTACTTACATTAACTTTGAGTTTTGGTTTCGAAAACACACTTTTAAAAAAAAAAAATATTTCTTCTCGTTTTAAGTTTTATTCTTTTATTTTTAAATTATATACCGGAATAGATGTAATTATCTAAATCGGTCAAAAAAAAAAGAAGATTAAAAATTAGATCAATCTAAATTTCTGTGTGATAAAAAAATAGTAGTTCATGTAGCATACCCCGATAAAATATTATAAAAATATGAAAATGCAAAAGTGCTTTTGCATTTTTAACCGACAACGTTGTCGGTTGAAAATAAAAAAACTCAATTTTCGAAATTTAAAAACTAGTTTAAGTTATAGACCATAAAAAATACTTATTGAGACTTCTAGAAATTATTTTCGCTTTTTTTTTTTACTGAGCAAAACGGTGTCCAGCAAAGTAAAGACCCAGCAAAAAATATGTAGCCCACCCGGCAACGGATCGATATTAGCAAACATGCCGAGCCAGCGTCGGCCCCCAACTGTGGCTTTGTGTTGGCTTGTGCATCTTCGTGTTGCAACTGTCAGCACCTCGTATTGGCGGCAAGACGAAGGTGGTTTGACAGCGAACCGATTGCGGCAAAACGCTAAAAAATCCGTAACGGTCCGTTGGCGACAACCAGAATGTAGAAGAAACAGAGTTTCGATATAGGATCTTTTGTAATTTGCGCTCTTATTTTGAGGCATGAATCTAGTTTAGTGGTGTAGCTACATATTTAGCGTTAAGAACGAGTAAAATTGGTGCGCTCCCTCTTTTCTCAAAGTTAGTTGAGAAAAGTAAATTCAAAAAGAGTTGTGTTTAAGTTACAGTGGTTATATACAATATAGAATAAAAAGGCTTCATCAAATGTTTTTAATGTCCAATCTGAAATGGTCAATTGGCAATCCTGATGTTAATAATCCAGTAGAAAAATAAAGTAAAAGGTTAAGTAAGCAATTCTAATTCAAAATATCTTTAAATGTTGTCCGTCTTTCATTGGAAAAAGTGTTCATTTATTTGATTTTTTTTTTATTGGAAAATGTGTTCATTTATATGATTGTTTTTTCATTTTATGTTTACATTCTTTTAATCTGGAAAAAATACCGGGCTATAATTTGATTTCATTAGGACGGAAAACAAATTAAACGCGGCGGTGGTTTAATTATTTATGTAAAAGAAAACCTTCAGTGTTATATTAAGCATGACATGAGTATTTCTGATGTCAATAAAGAGGTTTTAACAATTGAAATATTGAACAATAAAACTAAAAACATTGTGATAAGCTGTTGTTATCGCCCACCTACAGGCGAAATTAAAACTTTTAGTACATTTTTACAAGATGATGTTATAAATAAAAGCAACCATGAAAAAAAATTACTTTACACATTAGGTGATCTGAATTTAAATTGCTTTGAGTATCATGTCAAAAGAGACATTAATGGGTTTTATAATGGCCTATTTGAAAACGGAGCAGTTCCTCTAATAAACAAACCAACTAGAATTACTCAAACAACAACTTTCTTAATTGATAACATTATAACCAACGATATTTTTAATAATTCGCTTAAAAAAGGCATTATTAAAAGTGATATATCTCATCACTTCCCTATATTTTTTTCAATTGATATTTATGCGAAAATTATATGTTATGAAAAAAAATCATTTAAAAAACGAATTTTTCATAATAAAAACCTAGAATCTTTTAAATATCAACTATCGTTAATTAATTGGGACATTATAAACTTTTCTGAAGACATTAATTTAATATAGAAATCCTTTTTTAAAATTTTTTATGAAATTTATGACATCAATTTTCCCAAAGTAGAAGTAAATTACAAATATAAAAAAATTGTATCGCCATGGATTACCAAAGGTATTCTAAAATCTTCAAAAATTAAGCAAAAACTTTATATCAAATATTTAAAATCAAAAACAACTGAGAGTAAGACTATTTATAAAAATTACGTAAGATTATTTGAACGCCTAAGGAAAAATTCAAAAAAAATATATTTCACTAATTTACTTGATAAATAAAAATTAAACTCAAAACGCGCTTGGCAACTAATGAACGAAATTACTGGTAACTCTAAAAAAATTTCGCAATCTTTGCCCTCAGTTATTAAAGTAGATGATAATCTTCTTCTTGATCAAAAATCAATTGCTTCTGAATTTAATAAATATTTTGTACCTGTAGGACCAAACCTAGCCGAAAAAATTCCGAACCCTAAAAAATTAATAAAAGCAACATATGACCCTCTAAACTTGTATCTAAATTCTTTTGATTTGTCTTTTGAAGAGTTTGAAAGTGCTCTTAAATTGTTAAAGTCAAATAAAGCAGTTGGTCCTGATGATGTCAACGGAAATATTATTATAAGCTGTTTTGACGTTTTAAAAGACATACTTTTCCAAATTTTTAAATGCTCTATTAATCAGGGAGTTTTTCCTGATGATTTAAAAATAGCAAAAATTATTCCTATATTTAAAGAAGGAGAAAAAACTAATGTAAAACACTATCGTCCAATTTCCATCCTCTCTGTTTTTTCTAAAATTTTAGAAAGAATTTTGTACAACAGAATACACAATCACCTTTTAAGAAACAAATTATTATATAACATGCAATATGGATTCGAAAAAAATAATTCAACAGAGCATGCAATTATTCAGCTTAAAAGAAGTATATCAGACTCATTTAACAATTCTAAAATTACATTGGGAATATTTATTGATTTAGCGAAAGCGTTTGATACAATTGATCATCAAATTCTTATTAAAAAATTAGAATATTATGGTATAATAGGCAATGTTTTAAAATGGTTGAAAAGTTATTTAACTAATCGTAAACAATTTGTTTATGCTGATAAATCATTTTCATCAAGTTTGTTAAATATTACATGTGGAGTTTCTCAAGGATCCATATTAGGACCTCTTCTCTTCCTTATTTATATTAATGATCTATACAAAGCCTCGAATTTAATAACAATTATGTTTGCTGATGACACTAATTTATTTATGTCTCACAAAAGCATTCCTACTTTATTTCATAACGTGAACATCGAGTTAATCAAAATATCTGACTGGTTTAAGACAAACAAACTATCCCTGAACATTGATAAAACTAAATGGATTCTTTTCCATCCTCTTACCAAAAAACATAAACTGCCAATTAACATGCCTCCACTTGTTATTAACAATATACAAATTAAAAAAGTAACGGTAACTAATTTTCTAGGAGTTTGTTTAGATGAAAATCTTACATGGAAAAATCACATTAAAAACTTATCAAGTAAAATTTCAAAAAGTATAGGAATATTGTACAAAGCGAGAAATGTCTTAAATAAACAAACTTTTATATCACTCATTTATTCATTGCCACATAAACTATGCAAACATTGCTTGTGGTAGTGCAAATAAAAACAAACTTAAACCTCTTTATTGTCAGCAGAAGCATGTAGCACGTCTTATATATTTTAAAGACCGTTATACTCATGCCAAGCCTCTTTTATTTGAAATGAAAGTTTTTAATATATATGAGATTAATATTTTTAATATTTTTTGTTTTATGTTTAAATGTAAAACCAATTCATCCCCGATTTCTTTCCATAATTTGTATTCATCAAAAGATAAAAATAAATACATTTTACGCATGTAAATTTTATTAAGCAGCCCAATTTTCAAACAAATCTTTTTAAATTTTGTATTGATTATCGCGGACCATTCTTATGGAATAAAATAGTTTTAAAAAATTTTACTGAGGATTTTATTAATCAAAGTAACTACTTTTCTTTTAAACAAAAGCTTAAAGAACTCATTTTTGCAATCGATGATTTAACAATATACTTCTGATACTTTTTGTGATTTTTATTTTTACCATTTATTTAAACATGAACTTATAAAAAGTATAAAAAGTATCCTTAACAACTATAATTTACATATATAATAGATAAAACGCATCTTGTATTTATTATGGATTATTTTAAGTTTCTTACTTTTGTTAACTTATTTTTACTTTTTAACCTTGTAATTATCTTTTAAATTTTAACACGAATATTTCTTAGCGGTACTCGACGACAAGACCGTACGGTCTTCTACGAGTCCCCGCGTTGTTTTATTTTCTAATAACGACCATTATATTTATATATAAAGTTATTATTATATATTTGTATTTGAAATATTGTAACGAAATGCTTATTTTACATGTAATAAAAGAACAAAATATATATATATATATATATATATATATATATATATATATATATATATATATATATATATATATATATATATATATATACACATAATGAGAGCTTTCCTTTTGTATAAAAGACGGTTGGCGTCAACCAAACAGTCCTTGAACGTACTATATGTTTCTATTATCGATAGAGAGGTTTAAGTTTAGTTTTATTAGTGATCACCAAAAATTATTTGCATAGTTAATATGGCAATGAGTCAACGTGTAATATTACTGTTTTAAACTAAGCTTATTAAGGTAAAAAAAAAATAGGATTTTTCTCGAAAAAACAGGCTTTTTTATGACAACATTAAAAATATATATTTCTAAAAATTATAAGTGAACATTTATTCAATTTATAAACAGTAAAAAATGAATATAACATTTATAAAAAAATCCCATATATAAATAAATATACCATATATAATGAATAATCAATCATACATAATATAATGAATAATCATACATGAATAATACATCATATAGGGAAAAGCGGGGCAACATGGCGAATGGGGCAAGATAGGTTTTCATTTAACAACTCAACAGAAAATCTTAAAAACGGGTGAAAACGAAACTATATTTGCATCTTGTATTTTAAAACACCAATTTGTTTTTTTAAATATTATTAACGCAATATTATACCCATATGTTTACTTTTTGCGCTTAAAAAAAAATTCCCCAGTTTCAGTTTCTCATAATGGATGGTGTCTTTCAAGTTTAACGTCTTTAGAAGTAGTTTTTTGCAACTTGTGTTTATTTTGTATTACTTTAGTTAAAGTTATTGGTAGTTTTTAAAATTTTATAAAATTGGAGGCAAAAATGTGACCAGATGACAAATTTATGATCTTTTTATTTTAATATTTATTTCAAATTGTTATATTTGCAAACTGAAAATTCATGCGCGCAATTAATCATTTTAATAACATAAACATACTGAGAAAGTATTTTTGCTTCGCGACTGATAGCTTTGCAATACTTCAGGGCTTTCAAAACATTCACCATGATGCCCCGCTTTCCCCTATAAAAAAAAAACTCTAATAAGAATATTACTAAAAAGGATACAAATTCTCTGTAATCAATAAAGGAAACCTAATGCTTTGTGGATGACTGGTAGGATCAAATTTTAAAACTCGTGTAAACAAAAAGGAAATTAAATATAAAACATCGTGATTAAAGAGATCCCCACGTGCCGAGACAAGTTGTGTTCATATTAAACAAAATGTTTGAACAAAAACGGTAGGACTAAATATTTGATAAAAACTTAATAATATATGCATATCATGGATGGCCCCATTCATTAAACTCCTTTGCAACACTATTCCTTTTTTTTGTTTTCGACACTATTTATCAAACTCCTTTGCGACAGTATTCCTTACTCTGTTATTCGACAATCAACAATGCGATAATTTGCGACACAAATTCCTTTTTTACATTTTTGGTAATCAATTTGCGACACTATTCCGACACACCGTTTATCTTAAGTTTTTTTTAGCCTTTAATATTCATTATTTAATGTTGTCATGGTTATGCCAAAGCTAGAGTAGATTCAAATGAGGTATTTTTGAAGACGACAAAGTAAAGGACTCATATTAGAGACATTTCAAATTCATGCTCATGCTTTACTGCATATTAAATTTAATTATTTTTGTCAGTATTTGTAAATGTTGCAAGAAAAGATTTTATTTTCTTGAATTTAACAATGCAACTAAAATTGTATTAAGATAAAAATACTATAAGTAAATATAGCTACCATAAATAAATATACCCATCATGTATAAATATAAATACAATAATGATAGCTTATGAAATTGATAATCCTTTTTTTTAGTTTTTTTTTTTTAAACAAAAATGCATAACAACAACATTTTTTAAAATAAAATTTGAAACTTATAATTAAAATTTGTTATTACATGTTTATTGACTAGAAACAGGTTTGCTTCTTCTTAAAATTGTCAGCCTGCAGGTTAGAAACAGGTTTGCTTCTTCTTAAAATTGTCATTCTACAGGTTAGAAACAGGTTTGCTTCTTCTTAAAATTGTAATTCTACAGGTTAGAAACAGGTTTGCTTCTTCTTAAAATTGCCAGCCTACGATCTCTAGGAATATGTTGACCATTCCAAAAAGATTTTTCATCACTGAGAATCTCATGTGTAAAATCATAACGTAAATCATTGCTAAAAAACAAAAATTATTGCTATATCACATATTATAAAGATAAAAACAAACAAAAATAGTTAAAACTTTATATTGTATAACTACACATTTAATAAACAACCTAATTACCAATAAACAGTAATTCTTTTTGCTATGAGATTAAATACTAAATACATATAAGTACAGATAAAAACTTAAATGTGTTTAACATTATTACAAATTTAAAATTTACGACAAATTTAAATACATATAAGAATTCAAGGCCTATTTAAGTATACAGCATTGCACACTCGGAGCAGTATTAAATTTGCTAAGTGCAATACTATAATTTTATAAGTTTACTATTCAAATTTAATAGGAGCAATATTTTAAAAAACTTTGAAAAATAGCACATAGTAAAATAGCATAGTAAAATGAAATTGGCTTGATATAATATACATATTTCCAGAAGTCTTGATATAATAGTTAAATAATCTCCACAAGGCTATTATAATCATTATATACTGTTATGTAAAAATATAATTTCAATTTAAAGATAAATACAAAATTGTATATATTAATATATAATACATAGTATTACTACAAAATTTTATAAATGCAATTTTAATTTTAATTTTAAAGAGAGAAAATTAGCAGCCATCACTTAATAGTCATTGAATGTTACATTACTTTTAAACCATTGAATAATTATTTAACAGTAATGTCAAAAAACCTTAATTTTTTTTTACAGCCTTTTAAATTGATTTTGTTTTAAATAAAGAAATAAAAGAATAGTAGCTCATAATAATAAGCTACCCAGGGGTAGCTCATTGTTACATGATAATTCAGCATTTTTTGGATTTTTGAGATAACTTACTTCCAGACATCAAGGATGCGGAGTTCGAAGTCGGAGTCCATGGAGTCCCTATTTTAGTCCAGAGTCTCTAGAGTTCATAAAAATTTTAGGACTCCAAGACTCTTTTTTAAAGTTATTAATAATAATAATAATATAAAATAATCATATGCTTAAGAAATACCTAAAGTCTTGTCACAAAACACTGTAAAAGAGCATTTGACCTGAAAGCTTATCTCCTTCCTGAACCAATTTGAACCAATACTCAGATTGAGTATCGGTTAGAATGTTTCGCCTTGTTAAGAGGCGTTACCAAGCTCGCATTTTACGTGCAAAAAGGCCATGTGCCTACGCGTTCAGCAGTTTAACGTTAAGAGAAAACTTTCATTTTTTAGAATATTTATTAGTATTTTGATATCGTTGATGTGATGTTTATTCAGAAAATATAATGTTGAAAGTAAAAGCATTTAACAGCAATTATGATCTAATAGTTTTTTTGTTAAAGAAACTGTTTAATAAACTTTTTTTTTGTTAAATTAATTTTAAAAAATATATTGTTTTAACTTTAAAAATTTCATTATATTTAATGTTAAGTTTTATATTAAGTTAATAAACTTTTATTCGCAAATTATGTTCATTTTATGTCTAACGATTTTTGTTTATTTATTTATTGTTTTAAAACAATTAACTTTTTTATCCCAATAAGAAAGTACTTATGATTAACTGTTTATTTAAGTATTTCCTCATCATTAAATTTCGAGGCAGGGGCGATTTTCCTAAAAAGAGAGGAAGTTAACATTCAACTTACACTTAAATATTTTTTATAAGACATTTGTCACTTTTGAAGGATTCATTCTTTTCATTTTATTCACAAAACCGCCACTGGCTAGACCTGCAGATAAGCATATGTTTGAAAACTTAGTTGTTTAACTTTTTTTAAATATTTATCAAATTTAGAAGTAAATTATATTCTAGTGTTGAAGTTGCTTTTAGGATAAGTTTTTTCGTTATCTTTAATTTTTTAGATTGATCATAGAAAGAAGGTTGATTAGAAATGATTTACTAGACGAATATTTTACCAAATTCAAGTTCTTTACAAAAAATTGTCGATATATTTTTTTGCTTTGTTTAAGCACTGTTAAATGAAGCTTGTAAAGACTATTAGAAAAAAAACTCCTAATGAAAAATTGCAATGAAAGCAATATGGTTTAGATACAAAAAGCTATCAAATTTCACTTACAAATTAATTATATGCAATAAAAAAACAAATTTGTCTGTGAGTTTGGGCTATAAAATCAAGCTAACGATCTAGACAGTTGGCAAAAAACGTACCATCTAGGTCAGAAAGAACCCAAAAAAAGCTTATAAAAATACCCCAACAAATAAATAAAAATTATTTTGCGCAGCAATTTCTTTTACAGAAAAACTGCTAACATCATCGATTCATAACTAGTCATTTTAACAGCTTTTCTAACTATGTTTCCATGGGTTGTTTTACCAAAAATTAATTTTGCGAAGCATATATAACACAAAAAAAATACTTTACATGTTCACAATAACTTGCAACAACAACATTCTTTCTTTATAATAATATTTGCTATTAACTCGCATGTAACAATCTTGACCAGTAATAGCCACTAACTATGCGTCAGATACGATCTACAGACACTTTCATCGTACAAATAAAATTTTGAATGGATGCAAAGTAGTATGCTTTAAATATTTTGTACCTGAAAAAAGCAAAAGTAACGAGTTATGCGGTAAAGAAATAACATGTGCCGCAAAAGCTCGCATTAGCAACCTTATACAACACTTATCTAGAAAACATGCAGAGCTCCTCATTATGTTAGAAAAAGAAAAATTAGAAAAAAAAATAGAAAAGAATAAGAAGCAAAAATATACAGCCATCAAAGGCAGCACTTCACAGCAACCCATATTAAAAGATGATATACAAAAGATGAGTTTTTAGAAGCCTTAAACCAGCTGGTTTTGGTTGAAGGTCTTTCATTCCAGGTTCAATTTATTTTTTTGGTAGTAATTATTTTTTAATTAAAAAAAAAAAAATTATGTTTTTTTGCATTTTTAAATTAACATTTATCATTCTAAAAACAATATCTATAGGCGTTTGATCGGGAACCTATTCAATCAACAAATAGTGAACAAATCAAAAAACAATTATCAAAAATGCTAATTTATTTGAAAGTCGATTCTACATCAAGGCATATGCGTCACTACCTCGGTATAAATGCCCAATACTCGAACAATGATGAAATTGCTGTGATCAATCTTGACACCATTGATACGAAGGGAAAACAAACGGCGGAATACACAAAAAAATTATTGAGAAATGTTTAGACAAGTTTGGAATCAATAAAACTAATATTTTAGGCCTCAGTGCAGCAGTGAGTAACATATTTTGAAATTCACTATATTTTTTGTTAATGAAAAAAATTTTAAATTATGTGATTAAAGTTATTATTTTCCATAAAATCATTTAAAAAATAAACTATTTTGATAAAATCTTTTGTATACTGTAAGGTATATTCACTAAACTTTAAAGTAACTATTAAAACCATGTTTAATATCTTTAGGTGAATATAAAGTTGGTGCGCGACTTTGGCATCAGCACCATTGAGGCAATTGTAGATGACGAAGACATTTTTCATTAGAAACTGATGAATTTGACAAAGATGGTTATTCTAAAGCAGACAATGCGGCAGCAGTCTTGGCAAGTGGAGTTGCCAGTAGCATGAGTGTTATACATCTTCAAAGATGTGCTGTCCACACTTTACAGCTAGCCGTAAATGATGCACTGAAAAAGCCAACAATAAAAAATCTAATTAACAATGCCAGAGATGTTGTCAAAACTGCAAGAAATTCAAAGTGGATTGATTTCTTCAGGGACCAGACTCCACATCTCATTCCAATTTTAGATCAGGCTACCCGTTGGTCTAGCCAGTTCAATATAATTGAGAGGCTAATTAAGGTAAGTTATAAGTTATAACTTCGAAGTTTTAATCAAAGTTTATAAACCAGTTTTCTAACCGGTATAATATAAATCCAATTATTTCAATGGTAATGACATTTATACTACTTAATAATTTTTAAATGTTAGTTTATGCAAATATTTCTTTAAAAATCCTCTTTATTTAAGTAGTTAATAACTTTGTACATATATTTAATGAATTTTTCTGTTCTTCTAGATTCGACCAGTAAATTAAAATCTAAATATGCAAAAAGAGGCTTCTAAAGAATATAATGTGCGACCATGTTTTTGGGGTATGTGGGAGGAATTGAGAGATGCATTGCATATGGCAAGTGATCTTACTATTTGCCTTCAACATGAAAATATCACCGCAGGCGATATTTTCAATTATATAAAGTGTGAACTTGACGGGAAGGACACTGACATAGCCAAAGATTTCCAAAAAGGAATGGATAATAGAGAAAGCGCGCTACACGAAAATCAGTTGTTTCTTGCAGCAGTTTACGTTGATATTAGGCATGGCTGTATGTTAACAGCTACTGAAGACAAGGTTATTTTTTTAATAAAATTTTATTTATATATATTTATCTATTAAATTTAATAAATACATATTCCAAAAAATATAAACACTTCTATAGATAACTGCAGCTGATGGACTTTGGAAAATACATTACAAACTGATTCAACTCGCTAACGAAAATAAGAATAATGAACTCAACAAAACCAAAAAAGCAGTAGAGCGCAACTCTTTTGCAGTTTATGTGTCAGACTCTAGTTCAGAAAAAAGAGGAGAATGCTTCACCAGTTGCAAAGCATTGACCAAATTTATTTAAGTTGTGTGAACAGGAGGTTCAAGAAAATTCTTCAGAAGAACAAATGCAGGTTGAACTAGATGTAATCGAAAAGGAGTTTCAACTAGCTCTAAAAACAATTCCAGAAATCCGTTCAATGTTTAAAGACAAATCATCCAACTTAAACAAGTTTTTAAAACTTAACCCATTAAAATCAATTGAGCAGTTTCCTGAAGTTGTACGGGATGCCTGCCGTGTCACTTTAGCGCTACACATATCCCAAGTCAGTGTCTGTTTTCAGTCTTAAAGCACATGACACCAGACCATCGTAGTCGATTTACATCTGATTTAATTGATGATATGCTTTTTTTACAAACAAACAAGTTTTTTATTTGAACATTTTTTGATGATGTAAATATTGTAATATTTTGTTCTTGTAACTTTATAATTTAGCGTGTAATTAATGCAAATAAGCATTTAAATCTTTTTATAATTTTATGATCATATGGTTTTAAATAATCTGAAAAATCTGTGCGTGCGACAATACAAATCAAATAAAAATCTTTGGAGTTGTATTGTTCTTATAAATTTTTATGATCCAGCAAAAGCGGAACACATTAACTTTTGGATTTAAGCAGCCGTGGCGCAGTGGTAGGGCACTTTCCTAAAAAAAATAAAGGATTCGTGGTTCAAACCCATCTTTGGTTTTGCGACATCGGTTAGGAAGTAGGAGTGAATTTCGTAAGGACTTCTTAGGGTACATAAAATAAACATATACAATTCATAAGAGAAAATATTATTGGTACCCTCTCATTTTTCCAGAATTTTTGCGTAAAAGTTCCAGATTATAAAAACCCCATATTTAAATAAAGAAAAAAAAAATTATGCCAGAGTCCGGAGTCCATGATTTTTGAGCTCGGAGTCCGGAGTCTCAAAAAATCGATGGAACTTCGCATCCCTGCCAGACATGGATCAAACTCCAAACATTTAGATACTTCACATAAGTATAAACATATAAATGTTTGGTGTTTGCTCCATATCTGGAAGTTAGTTATCTCAAAAACCAAAAATTGCTGAATCTGCCTCTGGAGCTACCCTGTATTAATTATAATTTTACAAGATGGTAGCTCATAATAATGAGCTACCCTGTATTAATATTATACTGTAAGAAAGTGATGGAAGTCAATAATTTTGAGTTAGCCAACTTTCTGTAAAAACATTTCTTATGAAAGATTGTAAACTTTTGTTTGGAATTTTAAAAAGCACATTAACAAACTTTACTAGTAGTAAAAAAGTTGAAATTTAACATTAAAAAAAAAAATAACACTTATGCAGTTGAACTAAAAACCTGAATGTTGTCTCAATATCAATCCATTAGAATAATCCGGACCAGATTATTCTAATGGATTGATATTGAGACAAGCACAATTTGTTAATGTGATAGAAATATTTGATATTATTTTCTGTTGAATAGTTACAAACTTTAAATATTGAATACTTGATTTCTACACATAGTTTAAAAAAATAATTGGAGAGGAAAGTTGGGAAAGGGCAGGAGATTCTCTAACTATATAAAACAGACTTGCAAACATTATTTTTATAATAAATTTAATAAACTTTAATAAAACTAAAATTCTAATAAAACTAATATTTCAATAAGTTTAAGAATAATAAAATATTTATACCTCATTACATAAAGACAATACCGTGGCATAAGAACATTAACAGACTATATTTATACCTCATTACATTAAGACAATATCGTGGCATAAGAACATCAACAGACAATATTTATACCTCATTACATAAAGACAATATCGTGGCATAAGAACACCAACAGACAATATTTTTACCTCATTACATAAAGACAATATCGTGGCATAAGAACATCAACAGACAATTTTGAATTTGATGAACTCACAAAACGCATCACTGCAGAAGAAAGTAAGCATAACCCAGCAATTTTAGAGCCGCAAAACTAAGAAAAAAAGATCAAGGAACTTGTATAAATAGTTTCAAAAAATATATAAAAAAAGTAAGTAATGTTTATGCTTTTAAAATTATAAACATTGTTTAATATGTACCAAATATAATATTTTTAACATTAGTTATTTCAAATACATGATAACTTTTTCTGTAAATTTGCTTCAAACACATGATAACTTTTATTGTAATTTTTTTTCGCTTTTTAAAAATAAGCTAAATACGGTAACACTAGAAACATTGCATGCATTTATCTTAAAGACATATTGTACAGAATACAAGACATTACTTACTATATCACCTCTTCTAATATATATCAAGAGTCTGCTAATTCGGGTCAATGCAGGTTGTTTTTTTTAACAAAGAAATATTTTGACTTCAAAAATTATTTTTTGGGTCTAATTATGTGATTTAAATTTTCATAGAAATCATAAATATAAAACATTTATAAATAGACTTACTTATCAGAACTACTCTGGAAACTCAGATGATTACAAGTTATGCTGTGTTTCTTTGTGTCTAGTTTAGTTACTGTATTTTAAGTGTCGATTTTTTAATCTTTCTGTCATATTGAGAATATTTTATAGAGCATTGCTATAATCCTTTGTTTCCCATTACATATAATATATAGATATTGAGTGGAACGATTAAAACATAATTTTGAATCCAATATTGATTTGAACTTTTATAAATTCTTTGTTGCATAAGTTAAAAAAACAGAGATTAAATAATTAAAATCAAAGTTTGATAAATTTATTTGAGAAACCTCAAATGTGTTTAAAATTTAATTGTATGTTTGAACTTTGGGTTATATATGTTTATGTAAAGTTGAATTTTTATCAAAAATTGAACTTTAAAAATTTTATATAAACATTACATATTATTACTCAATGTCTAGAAACACTTTGCTAAAACTGGAAGTTTGTTAGTTTAATTTGAAATAAACATTAATATTTTTATAACAACATTTATGACAATTAATTCTTAAAATAGTTTGCCTCAATCTTGAAATTTTTCTGAATCATTACATTGCATTTAATAATCAACAACATGTAAGAAAAAATAGCAATAATTGCAATTATGAAAAACTTACTTTAACACTATCGGTGTGAGGCTTTATATATCTGAAAAAAATCAAGCAGAATTAGTTCTATATCCTGAATCAGAGTAAAGGTTTTTTAAATTGATAGTATATTATTAATTATTAAAATTTTATTCTTTTCATCCCTGAGTAGGTGAACAAATTTGTAGTGCTTAGACTTCACTTAAGTACTTTAATAATTATTTACTATGTTCAAAAAACAACATTTTTGAAAAAGATCTGTGGGAACCCCCTAAATGTTTTTAATGTAATGAAATAAGACTGGATTAAAACACTATGTTCAGAAAATAAAATTTATTTAAAAATAACATTTTTGCGCCCTTCATGTGTTTTATATAATAAAATAACACTTGATTTAAAAATTATTTGATTAAAAAAATACTCTTACTACAGACCCTCAAACAAGTCCTAAAAAATTATTAATATTATAAAATCTTGTAAAAAAATTATAAAATCTTGTGAAAAAAATACTCTTTTTTAATTTTTTGTTGAAAATTGTCATTTTTTATGTAATAAAATCTAAAATAATAACTTTGTAGTTAAATGATGATTATTTAAAAAAACTTTTATATAACTTTCATAATTACTTTTTGAACCACCCTAATAACGTTCACAATTAGTTTTAATAATAATAATAATTAGTTGATATGAAACCAAACAATAAGGTATAATAAAAGTCACAAAAAAAACTGAGGCTTTGAATTTTGAACAAACCACTAGTGATTTAAAGTCTTAAAATCTATTATATTTTGCCTAGACTCTAGGAGTCCTAGACTCTAGCCATTTTACAGAAGTTCTTAAAGTTCTTTTTAAGTCTACATTTACTTGTGTGTCAATGGATGTGACTATGCGCCTCTTTCTTCTATCTCCATTAATGGTTTCTTTTTTGATTGATTTTAATGATTCTAATGGTGCTTGACAAAACTATTTAATCTTGATAATCAATCACTTTTTGTTCACTTAGAACAGATGGTCAATCTGTGATCTTGTGACAGCTTGAAGCTGTAGAGAGGCAATAGTTAGTGAATTTCAATCCCAACAACTGTTTTTTGCTCATACTCATCATATTATTTCTAGATTTATGAATGGCGACTCTTTTACTCACCATTTACTTTGCATCCTCTCAGATTATTTATTTTTAACTGACCTCTCATGGAAACTGTATATCCAATCCATTGAAAAGCTAGCATTCATTAAGATTGCCTCTTTTTTTTTCCATTTTACACCTCTAAATCTTTTATTTTTTCTCAAATAATTGATCATACTTGGGATGGCTTTTAATGATATGCTTCTCTTTTAGACAAGGTCAAAAAACACATTGTAATTGTAGTTAAATCAGTTTTAGCTGCCAAGCTTGTGCAAGTTAAATTGTTGTATGGTTGAATCTCTTTTTTACAAATACTATCATGGAAACCTCCTAAGTCAACTATCTTGTTATATCAAACAAAACCAAATTTTACATGAACTTCATTTCAAAAAGTTGCATCAATTTACTGTAACTGATATTTCATTGTTGAATAACTTTCATTTAACTTTTTCCCTTGAAACCAATGCTAAGGAATTCTCTAATGTCTTCATGCTTTCCTGAATACAATTTACAGTTTTAAAGTCTGTTGTCAGACATTTTTGTTTTTTTAACTATTTTTGTTAACTCCTAACTTAAATATTAGTTGCATTTAACTTTGTATGAATGAAATAACAATAAAAAAAAGAATCTAAACCAATCTCTCTGTACCCTAAAGTGTCCTGATTTCTTCCCTAAATTGCTCAATAAGTCTTTTAACATTATTGAAACTCCTAAAAACCAGGAATAGTTTTACAACTTACAAAATTGGAGATTTTATAGACTTTTTATCTCTGAAAATGATACCATTTATGCTAGTTAAAACTGTTAAGGATGGATTTTTGTACTTAACAGTTTTAACTAACATTAGGATTGTGTCAATCTATCACAAAAAGTTTTTCAAAAAAAAAACAAAGAACAAAACAATACCCATTTTTTGCTAAATCAAGCACATGAGTAAATGGTTGCATGGAATCAATATCATCTCCAAACACTTTATTTGCTACGCGATCTAAGATTAGCTGGCATTCTTTGGACCAGATTGTCTTTTCAACTTCTCTAAAACCTTCAATAGCCTAATAAAAAAAATGCTGCATTATTAATATTATTGGTCAATATTACACAAAAAAAGATATATAAATAAGCAATAAAATATAATAAAATATTATATATATATATATATTTTTTAACATCTTCATTTCCAACAAGGCTGCAAGCAACCACTACTTAGTATTGGAAGTTACAGGAAGAGAAAAGATAAAGGTTGTAGAGCAAGATAACGATTGACAGATGACTTAAAAGACAACTTAAACTGATGTTCGAGGAAAAAAACTAGACGAATAAGAGTTTTTCACTTATTAACAGTAACAGAAAAAGGATGAGACTTAATTGAATTACGAGTAACACGAGAATGAATTTTAGTTGATGGCACAGGAGACGCTAGCTCTTTAGAGCAGTGCCCATTATTACAGTATTTGTTGAAAAGAGAAAGAGAAGCAACATTACGATGATGTGGCAGAGGTTGAAGGTTGGCTGCAAGAGCAGGTCCAACTATGTTTACAATGTGTTTTTGCACCTTGTCTAAAAGAGAAAGGGCATCATTAGAAGACAAAAATAAATGGTAGTATCATCAGCGAACAATGCCACCTTAGATGTGAGAATATCTGGAAGATCATTAATATAAATTAAAAAGAGTATAAGGCCAAGGATTGAACCTTGAGGAACCCCTGAGGTTACAGAATAAGAAGAAGAGTGCTGTCCATCAAGGACAACTTTTATACTACGATTGGAAAGAAAGGACTCAATAATCTTAAAGATGTTTCCAAATACATCGTAAGAAGAAAGCTTATGGAGAAGACCAGCATGCCATACTTTATCAAACGCTTTAAAAATGTCAAGAGCAATGGCCTTAACCTCTCCACCTTTATCTAATGCACAATAAAACCTATAGTTTATTACTGTTAGCAAATCAGCCGTAGAACGAGAAGATCGAAATCCATATTGATGATCAGAAAGTAGGTTATGAGATTCAAGATGAGAGATTAAGTGTTTGTTAATTAAAGATTGGAAAATTGTTGTTAAATTGTTGTATGGTTGAATCTCTTTTTTACAAATACTATCATGGAAACCTCCTAAGTCAACTATCTTGTTATACCAAACAAAACCAAATTTTACATGAACTTCATTTCAAAAAGTTGCATCAATTTACTGTAACTGATATTTCATTGTTGAATAACTTTCATTTAACTTTTTCCCTTGAAACCAATGCTAAGGAATTCTCTAATGTCTTCATGCTTTCCTGAATACAATTTACAGTTTTAAAGTCTGTTGTCAGACATTTTTGTTTTTTTAACTATTTTTGTTAACTCCTAACTTAAATATTAGTTGCATTTAACTTTGTATGAATGAAATAACAATAAAAAAAAGAATCTAAACCAATCTCTCTGTACCCTAAAGTGTCCTGATTTCTTCCCTAAATTGCTCAATAAGTCTTTTAACATTATTGAAACTCCTAAAAACCAGGAATAGTTTTACAACTTACAAAATTGGAGATTTTATAGACTTTTTATCTCTGAAAATGATACCATTTATGCTAGTTAAAACTGTTAAGGATGGATTTTTGTACTTAACAGTTTTAACTAACATTAGGATTGTGTCAATCTATCACAAAAAGTTTTTCAAAAAAAAAACAAAGAACAAAACAATACCCATTTTTTGCTAAATCAAGCACATGAGTAAATGGTTTTACTCATGTGCTTGATTTAGCACATGAGTAAAACCATTTAAATGATTAAGTGTTTGTTAATTAAAGATTGGAAAACTTTGCTTATGATAAGAAGAAGACTAATGGGACTGTAATTAGATGAATCGGATCGCTCTCCAGAATTTTTAAAAATAGGGATAACAGATGCTGCTTTCCAGCAGGCTGGAAAACAAGACTCTGATAAGTACTTGTTATATAGTTTTGAAAGGATAGACGACAGCTCCGGAGAACACTTCTGCAAGACTATAACAGGTGTGTTGCCGCAAGCTGTAGAAGAGTCTAAGCAGGAAATCACTTTAGATACAGAAGCTGGAGTGATATGGCCGTCAAACAACCTGTTTGACGGCTATATCAGGTAGAGCGCAACTAGTGGAATCAAGAGATGATATTGATGAAAAGTTCTTAGCAAACAAACCAGCTTTGTCTTTAGGTGAGGTGACAAAGTCTGAACCATACATAAGAGGTGGAATTACAGACTTGCCCTTATTATTGATACTATTAAAGATTCTCCAGAAGTCACAAGAGCCTAACTTTTGTGATGAAATACGAGATTTCATGATCTGAGAATAGCGGGCTTTGGCATTAGACAAAACCTTTTTATATAAAGTAAACATTTTATATCTATAACATTATACATCTTATATATTTTAAATAGTGTGTGTGAGTGTGGGTATATATATATATATATATATATATATATATATATATATATATATATATATATATATATATATATATATATATACCCACACTCACATTGGTATATATATATATATATATATATATATATATATATATATATATATATATATATATATATATATATATATATATATATATATATATATATATATATATATGTGTGTATATATATATATATATATATACATATATATATCAGGCTTTCCCAGGAAAGGCTTGCGGTCGCACGCCTTGTTTGTCCACGCATAGAATAAATTTTTCTGACTAACTGACCACATTTTATTATGCGCTTCAAGAATTTGCGCCAAAACAAAGCTAACTGAAAATGCCACAAAAATGCAAGCAATCTTAAAGTAAATAAAAGAAATCTGTTTGTGCTTTCAAATTTAAAAATTAATGTTTATTATTAAAAAAAAAATTTACCTATATTTGATTTATTTTTTTGTTTTTGTTTTTTAGGGCATAGTTATTTTAGCTATGAAAAATCAAATCAATAAAAAAAAAAAAAAAAAAAAAAAAGAAAAATCAAATCAAAAAGAAAAAGATTATTGTTTAATGAAAATAAAAGGACCTTTTAATGTAAAATTTGTTTATGACTTTTATCATTCAGTAATACTTTAAAATTCACGATAGAACTTTAATTAATTTTTAAATGTTTCGTAAATACATTTAAATGTTTAAATGTATTGATACGCAAGAAAGTGCGAAAACCCTAAAAAAAGAAAACAAAAACAGTATAAAAACTTTGAAAAAAATGTTCAGGACTTTTTTTTTTTTTTGTTACAAGATTATTTTTTTTTTTAATTTTTTTTTTATTATCAAAATATTTTTCTTACATCCAATTTCAATTTTATACTTTGTTTAGACTTCGTTTCCTTTTTTTAATATTATTTTTTATTCTCTGTGGATAAGATCCGCTTTCTCACGAAATATTGCCGCGGTCACGTTTTCTGAAAAATTTATTCTATGCATGGACAAACAAGGCGTGCAACTGCACGCCTTTCCTGGGAAAGCCTGATATATATATATATATATATATATATATATATATCAAGAAATTAAAAAATCGTTAAAAATGCAAATTAAGCAATGCAATGAAATCTGATGTCAGAAAATCGATTACATGATGTCTTAATCTAATTTTACCTGTGTCAAATTGACAAAAAAGGAATTTATTTCTATGCCAACACTTGAATACAGTTTCTGTATTGTTTTTATATTTGGGGATATTAAATGATTTTAAATGGTTGGCATATCTCAGTTTAAAAGGTGTTTCACTTATACCAATGTATGATTTTTTTATTGAAGGGTTATCTGAAGTGATAAATGCTTGGTATACAATATTGTTGGTCAAGCAGTTATTGAGTAAAGGGCAATTGTTCTTATTAAGGCACTTGCAGTTATTTTTATTGATGATAGGACTTTTGTTTAGGGTGTGCTTGTTGTGTAAAATTATTACTGATTTCATGCTTAGCATACAACTGTAGCTAATTTTTACAGAATTCTTGTTGAAAATTTTATGTAGTTTGTGGTTAATTAGAAAATGTTTGGCAATCAAGTTTAAAAAGCATTTTCCTATATTTGTGGTGACATTTTTGCTAAAAGGAGGGTTGTACCCGATTATTTTGCATGTACAGTTTTTCTTTTGTTGTTGTTTTAAGCTAGGTTGGTAAGATAGATTATGTTTATAACCAGAATTTGTAGTGCTTCATTATAAATAGATACAGATTTCTTAAACACTTCTTTACTGCTAGAATTTCTGGAAAATCTCAGTTCAACATTTCGAGGTAGTTGTTTTTGTATACTCGAAGGGTGGCTAGATTGAGCAATTGCTTAGAACAGACAGCCAATCTTGAACCTAATCTCACTTCTGTAACAGATTGGGGCTCGCAGTGGCTTGTAAACTTAAACTCCAACAAAACTCAGTTATATACAGCAAACAACTATCGCAATACTGTCAACATTCCTAGATTAATGAATGGCAATCCTCTTAGCGAGTCCTCTTCTTTACATCTTCTTGGATTATTTTTTACTAATGACCTTTCATGAAAACCATATATATATAATCGATTGCTAAATTAGTATCCTCTAAGGATGCTTCTTTTTATCATGCTTGTCATATTTGGTTCTGGCCTAATGATGCTCTTTCTTTTTCAGACAAGGTCCAAAAACCCATTGTAAGCGAAGTTGGACCCACTCTATCTGCTAAACTTGAGCCTCTTTCCCATTGTCATAAAGTTTCTTCCACCTTCATGTTTTCCTGACTCATACAACCTACAACTTTTTAAGTCTCCTGTCAACAATTTCTTTGCTCTATAACTCCATTCTTTTTTTTGTTCTAGTAACTCCTAACTTAATGGTGGTTGCTTGCAGTCTAGTTGGAAGTGAATCAGAAAAAGAAAAAAAAATTTGGCTTTATAAAAAAGTTTTTGCAAGGAAAATCTGACAATAGGCTTATAGATAAGAGATAGTGGCCAAGGTGGTCAAAAAACTGGAAGAAATTTGTTGTGCATATGTAATGATACTTATGTTATTAATGTGCTCAGGTAAATAGTCATATTTATAGATCATATTTTTAGACAATCCGCAGCATACTAGTGCTGCAGATGG